AAAAAACATGTTCTTTTGGTGCTTTTATGTGTTTTCCAATGTTTTTAGGGTATCACTCATAGGATTTCATGGTTTTTATTGGCTTTTCCAATGTATCTAAGCTCCTGACCATGAAAAACTTTGGAACAACAAATAGAAACCATGATTTCCCATTTCTACGCGATAGTTTGAAATTCATTTTTTTATTGTTTTTTCCAACGTTTTTGTGCTCTTCTTCATAGGATTTCATGGTTTTTATTGGTTTTCCAATGTTTCTGAGCTCATGAATATGTAAAACTTATGACAAACAAATAAAACATTTAAGTTTCTAATTGATTTCGAGTTTGGAATCCGTAGCTGAAACTTGAAACTGCTACTGATTTAGATACGTATATCCTAGCCCCTAAGTATGTTGCCAGTGCAAAACCTCTGTACAAGCCATGTTCCGTCTGAAACTTTATATCTCAAGGTCGTTAGTTGGTTTATTTGTTCTCTATCCCTTTCGATAGTATTAATTGCATCATGGCGAAGAAGTTCAACCCGTTCCCGCTTCCCAAAAGAGGAGTGCGTCGCATGATCCAAAAAAAGGCCTTCCTCATCGAAATCGGCATCATGGAACAAGATCCCATACGTCAAAGGGCAGAACAATGGAGGACACTTGCGAATGGAACAGGTAAAGTGGCGTCGCACTATTCAGGAACTTCTGTCTTCCGACAACCAAGAGATTATCGACATCCTTATCCAAGATATACTCCTTCCAGATTGGAAAAGCACCGTTTGTCCACACTGTCAGCGTGGCAAGCTTGGATCTCTTGCATCTAATGGTCGGGACCAGATTCTCCGATATCGTTGCAATAGTAAGGGCTGTCAGCGGTACTTCCTTCCTCAACATCTGCATCCTTTCTTCACGGCCACCAAGGGTCCGGAAGGTCATTCTCTCCAGAAGCAGGCAGCTGCATTGCTACTCCGTCTACTCAACGTGCCCCTCTCGAGCATCCACATCCTCACGAACATCAATCACAAGGCGTTGGAGAAGATGAATCGCAATCTCCTGCTCACACAAAAGGGATACGTTCAGAAAAAGGAGAAGGACATTCGTTTCGGAGGTTGCCCTCGAGCTTGGAAGGAAGTAGAAACTGACGAAACAACTTTCGACAAAAAGACTCTCAGTCCTGAGGAGCTCCAGGTTGATGACGGTAAGCCTGTGCTTTGGGAACAGTGGGGCGCCATCGTGCAAAGGGGATCCCCTCAAACACTGGTGCTCACACGACTCAACCCGGCCATGACTGTTGCTCGAGCACCAAGGCCCGGTGCTATCCGCAAGGTGGACTGGAAGCCGCTTGCTTTGAAGCACTTGGCCAACAAGCACATCATCCTCCACACTGATTCGGCTCGCTCGTATCGTATGAACATCGCTGGTGCTGTTCATGATGCTGTTGTACATAAAAAAAGAAACGAGTGAAGCGTAATGGCAAGTGGATCTGGCTAAAGCCGAACTTTGTACGAATTTCCAAGCATACCTTACCGGACGGTCGGCGAGTGTCTTGCAAATCGGGGACTCAGATAGTTGACCGGGCATGGAAATTCATTAAAGAGAGGCTAGCCCGAAATCAGCACGCTAAATCATCTTCACTGATGCTCGCCGCTCAGATCCGGAGCGCCGAATGGGAGTACTGGAATCGATGCGACGACCTATGGCTGTGTACTGGCCATCTTATCACCATTTACATGGAGGGCATGGTGAAGAGAACTTGATAACAAGATCTATTATGCAGTGAGTGTATCAGTATCACAGCGCCTTTTAAAGTTATTTAAAGTATCTAATATACAAGTATTATATATATCAAACGTTTTCTATATAGTTAAGTGAAGAGTTTCCACTCAAAGCGTGATCGTGAGTTGTCTTTACCAGACCCTGCACGTATCACAGAGATTAAGCGGCGCGATTTTGAGCTGTATGAGGACAAGACGTTGTCTTGAAGCATGCATCAAGTGAAGCTGTTAGCATCGCACAAAGTTGATGCTGCTTTGTTGTGATTGAGAATTCTCTGGCTCAATCACAGACTATGCTGCTTATCCTTCTGCCCTTTTATCATCGATGTGAAAACTATGCATGAGCATGCAAATATCAGCTAAGGTTACGCGGCTGCACTTATGCTGCGTGTGTCTTGGAGTTTATGTATGTATACCCTTATATAGATAATAAGTTTCTGGATGCTATAGAGAGCCCAAAACAACAAAATTGGTAGGTACATGGGGTGGTAGCATATATAAATATATGTATATATATATATATTCCCTTCTTCCCTACAAGGCCTAGGAAGGCCGAAGCAAAGCCCTGCGCAAACGCGCAGGGGACATGTGGGATTTCCCAAAATTAGGGTACCCCTTTGGGGGGTCCCTAGAATACGGATTATAAAGCTGTTGGGGTCTACATTGGGGTTTTAGTTCTGCGAAACTACCATGTGAATGCGTGCAGGATTATTATGTGACTCTTCTATAGATGTTAACACCGGGTGTAGAGAGTTGAAGACGGAGGGACTAGGGTGTAGAGGAAGGTAAATCTACCGCACATGCCTCAGGCTTTACGATCATATACCTGTAGTCTGAACTCCTGAAGGGCATGTTATATGGGGGATTATACAGGGGAGAACTATAGGAGCTTAGACTATAACTCATATGGAGGTTTCCAAGATTCGGGATCTCTTTTCAGGCCGATACTGGAAGATTCTAGCGTATTGGGGTGCATACGCAGCCCCCTTGAGAAATCTGATTATAGCCTTGGAGGTCTCCACAATCATGTTGGACCGCATTGAGGTTGCCAAGTCATTTTTATGGGGCGAAGTAAGGTGCTTGATAAGGCCAAGGCGAATCAAGCCAAGTCTGAACAAGTCAAAACCCTAAAGCAGCCGACTGGCACATTTGCCTTTGACACACCCTGCACGCCCAACGGACTGAACGCCCCTATCATGAATGCCCCCGACATCTCAACCCTAAAGCCCCTAAATGGGTGGTCGTATATATATGTGGCTTAGGGTCTAGGGCTTAGGGTTTAGGGTTATATGGGTGGTTGTCACGATTATGATCCCTTCTTTGGGTACCCCAAAATATTAGGTGCCGTACGATAATAGGGATCCAAAAAGGGACCATAATTTTGACAACCACCCAAATGGTAAACCAATTAGATACCAAAGCTTGTCATACCACAAGACCCAACAATGTCCTTTAAAACCGGAATTCTCAAAAGTCATCATACCAATAGACCTCAACACCTGATTGAAACACATAGCAAAGCTTAGTAACGTACCAGACCCCAAGGCCTCAAATTACCAAGGGCGTCGTGAACATATTGTTGTCAATAGGTTGTTGCTTGGACCGAGCTCGTTCTGACCAGTTTTTAGCTGCCATGGTGCCTTAGCTGTCTGGCTTGCAGCCAAGGACATGAGACATGGGTTTAATAAGGGTTTAGTTTAGGGTCCAGTGTTTAGGGTCTAGCATTGAAAGGCGTTGGAAAGTTAGTTTCGATAAAATGTGGCTTCCAACATGAATAAGGAGTAAGCTACTGGCGGAGAACTTGCCGCTTGGGAGACCCAGCCTCCGATTGCTCATGGCTTCCGTCGCATTGGGTAGCATTAGGGTTATACTGGGGTTTATGGCGGGATAATGGAAAGTAAATGGAACTACTATATTATGATGGGGTGTATATATGGATTGTAGGGATAATACTGGGGTAATGGGAAATAAAGTGGAAACGACTATTCAGGGGTTAGGGTTTGGGGATTCAAGGTTACGGGGCGGCTAAGAAGTAGATTGGCATGACTAAGGGTCTTCTCCCCTCGGACATGTGGCGCACCCTGCCAAGCTTTGTACAGAAAATCTCAGAACCATCCCTAAACCCCCATACGTAAACCCAACAAACCCCCCATATAACCCTAAATATCCCTATTTAGCCATATTTACCCCTGCATGCAAGTTAACCCAGACCGCTGATTAATCAACCCCTTCCCCTTAAAAAAGATTATAATAGGGATCCTAATAATAAGACCCTCAAACGAGGGAGTTTGTTGATCATGGGTCTCCATTTACCTTAAACCCCAAGCCCTAAACCCTAAACCTTTGACCCTTAGCCGTAAATCCTTTTAATAACTTTGTATATCAACAGGAGGCCCGGCACAGGCTCGTGTCTTAGGACCATGGAGCCGCCGCTACGGTCGGGCCTGTCGCCCCAGGCCGGAGGTCAAGGATGAGGGTTTAGGGTTTAGGGAATCAGGGTGTGACTAGGGTTTAGCGTTTGGGGTGTAGGGATTAGAATTCAGTGTTTAGGGATTAAGGGTTTAGGGTTTAGGGATGAAGGTTTAGTGATTAGGGTTTAGGCTTTAGGGTTTAGGCTTTAGGGTTTAGGTTGGTGCTGCTTGGAGGGTCAGGGGGACTTTGTACGTAGGTTAATTATTGGGATAATTAGGGTTATTAATTAGCTGGATTATAGGAGTTATTAACCTACTTACTAAGGCTCCCTAACCCTCCAAGTAGGCTTTGCTGCCCACGGGCGTTCATGCTCAATCAACGTGTCCCAAATTTCTCATTCTAGGACCCAAATCCTTAATTTTGGGTGCCAAAGCTTTTGTTAGGTACCAGAAAGCATGCTTGATTTCCATGTCCAGCCAGCCCAGCACCTATTTGAAGTCTGGTGCGCAGGTGAAGGATCTTTCCTTTAAGGCTCCCTGCATGCTAGGCCAGCTGTTTTCGTAGTTCCTATATTGCTTGGTTACCCCAAACACCATAGCAAACCCTTTCGTAGTTCCTATATTACTCGGTTACCCCAAACACCATAGTAAACCCAAAACAGAGCTCTGTATGAACCTTGGGTAACCCCCCATACCGCCTTGAATCCCTCTCGATATGTATCCCATAAACCCTGTAGAGTCCCTGTATAACTTAAATACGTATTCAATTCGTATCGTATACCCCGCATAGAGCCATGGAAACCCGTTTTATGACCCTGGCAACCAGCAAGTCGACAGGCTGATGGCGCGCAGCGAGCGGCCAGCCGGCCTGTGGAAGATCGGAAAGCTGGCGCTGGCCACTCGGAGACTTGGCTGGAGAGAAAGTTTGGGCTCGGTTTTGGCGTTTGGAACTCAAAGTTGCAAAGCGTTCGGGCTAGGGGCTTAGAGCAGATGCGGCTTAAGAGCATCAAGGTTCGCGGTTTAGGGTTTAAGGTTCAGAGGCTTGTAGTCACTCATGTGGCTCGGTAACTTGTGTCCACTAAATCGTTCAGGGCCTGTAGGATTTTCATGAAGATTGAGATAGGTTTGGGGTTGGAAGACTTTAGGATTCTGTGAGAAAGTTTTGACACCAGGGTTGAGTTTAGCGCGCTGATTCTTTGTGTTGAAGGTTCAGTAACTACGGGTGTTTGAGTGTTCCATTTGTAGCCTAATTTGGTCTGAAGGGCCGGTGCACCATCGCATTGACTGCCAAACCCATTATAAAGCCAAGTCTTTTGACACGCAATGGGTAGTCCTCATGTACTGGACCAGATATTGGGTGCAGGGATGGCGCAGTGTGGTCGTCAGCATATTTGCCCCCAGAAGAAAAGGCTATCGTCATGCAAAAGGCAAGCCGGCCAAGCCCATGATGAAGGCCTTGTTGTAAGTATCCTTTTGTGTGCACACATGCAAGTTTCAAAATTGGAGACACGATGTGTCTCCCAGAAATTTTGTTCCGGTAGCCATTATAGTACCCCCCCCCATATACTTTGAGTTACCCCAAAAGGCATAGTCGCTTCCCCCTAATAGTAAACGACGTCCCCCCCCCTTATATTGGATAATCCGTGCCCCGAGACAATATTTAATATAAGGGGGAAGATTTATTGAAGGAATTAGATAGGGCTGCCTTTAAACTCCGTTTAAATTCCATGGCAAATGAATGATTTATTCAAGTACTTCATGAAATTGAACAATTAATTACATACTTCTTGAAATCGAAGCAAAATCCCTTTAACATCAATTCAAATTTAATTTAAATGTCTTTCAAAACTAATTGAAATCTAAGTAAAATCACGTTAAAATCAATTGGAATTTAATCAAAATTCCGTTTAAAACCAATTGAAATCGAATTAGAATCCCGCTAAAAAACAATCAAAATCGCATTCAATTCTTGCATATTAAATCCTTTCTTAAAACCATATGAAAAACAGTCAAAACCCCAGGAAATGAAGGGGATCCCTAATTCCTTTGTATTTCTTCTTATACCCCCCAATGACCTCAAAGCATCCCCTTATTCAAAAGCAGTCTTCCGCTTTTCAAAATAGTCTTCTTGACTCTTAGGCCTCTGAATTTATTGTTAAATATGAGGGGGGATTTAAGATTAGGGGGAAGGGAGTAAGGATTTCGGCAACCTGCCAAAAAACCTTCAGAAGCCATGAAGGGTTCATCCGAGCCTTAAACCCAAACTCCTAAACCGCGACCCCTATTCTCCACTATAGGGACCATATGCTTAAACCTTAAGCCTTAAAACTGGAACTGGAGTTGTCGGGCGGAGGCCTTCTTGCCACTGGTGATCGGGGCCACAGGCATTTGGGCCAACGTTAGGTGGGGGGTGAGTCTTGAGGATTTAGGTATTGGCTTTAGCCTTCAAGGGTTAAGACGTCAAGGCTCAGAACTTCGCATCCCGTATACTTCATATATGTTGTTTTTTCATGTGCTTCCTTGAGATCCCTTTAAAACATGCCATCTAGCGCCCCATTTGTTGTTTTTCCGTTACTCGTCGTAGGGTATCTGGGATCAAGTCATGCAAAGCTGTATTCCAGTGTTGGACCTACATTCCCCTAAGCCCTAAGCCCCGCCAACCCTTGACTCCAACCCCTAGAGGGCTCTTGATCAGGGTGTGTCTCAAAGAGCGCGGCCCCAGGGACCAAAGTGCTTTATGGTGATCATGACGGTAGCAAGAAGGGTGCGCAAAGTTGTTCAAGAACGATGTGTTAGGAGAAGTCCCATGTCTTCCGCGGAGTTTTGTCAGGTTTGAGGTACGACTGAGTATGGGTACTGAATAGGATCAGTCTCCAAAACCTAGACCTCAGGCAATTCCTCTTGAAGCTCCCAGTTGTACCCTCGCCCAATTGAACGTGAGGCCCGGTAGTGACCCAGTCCCAGAAAAGGTGCGCCACATGAGTTTCGAGCGCAGGTGTACCTAATGGTATGCGTTTCAGCAAAACTGCCCTAGATTATTATCTAGCCCCTGTATAAACCCTATATGATTTTTTATTTTTTCCATGATCCCAATGCTACCCTTATATAAACCTTAGAACGGTCAGCCACCCCTTTGCATCCCATTTCCATCCCAGCAGTCTCACGACAAGTCTTCCTTGGCTCTGTGGTCCTTTAAGCCCTACCGTTTGTACTTGGGATATATTCGGGTTATATAGGGGTGATATAGGGACAATGGAAAAGAAAATGGAAGTTACTATATTATAATAGGGTTATTGTTGGGATTAATCATATATATATATATAGAAGCCATAGGTGGTACTGAAGTTCTAGAAGTTCTCTACCTCAAAGCTGAAACCCCTCAGCCCCTGAAGCCCAAAAACTAATCCGTGGACCCCATGCTCCACAAGAGCAGGGGTTGTCTTTGGCGACATCGGCACCTCCCCGCTCTACACCTTCAACAGCATTTTCACGGAGACATCTGCATGGTCTGTGGTACAAGTTCAGAGGGTTATATAGGGGACCATTTGAGGGGCGATTACAGGAGATACTAGGAGTCTAGACTATGTTTCATATGAGTTGTTGGTGAAAAGTCTGCTTTCAGTGGGGTCCACCTCGGGAGTCGGGAGCAACCCAACATGCAAGGAGTCAGGCTAAGCGCCCTACACAGAATCGAAGATGTCAGGCTTGTACCCCTAGGGTTGTATCCCTGGGTTTCGGGATCCTTTGCAGGGACTCTAGGGGACAACATTGGCTCATATAAAGTCAATATTAAGGCCATTTTGGGGAGACCTTTTAGGGGTACGACCTTGGGGGTACAAACCTGGAACCCTTGAGAGAAGCGAGAACGCCATTATCTAGCTGAAGAACGCATCGTCAGGCCTCAAAGGCCCCAGCCAGCGGCATTTTCTTGGATGAGACCGGTCGTTGCAAGTGCAGAAGCTAAGAACACCCCAAGAAGAACAGAAGCATGCACCCGGAAAATGAAGGCAAGCAACGTCTCAACACTCTGAACTCTGAACGCCTATAAGCCCTAAAACACCCAAACCCTGAACCATAAGCACGAGGCCTCACAACCTACTTCAAGACTTCCCGGTCCCTGGGCAAAAGCTCCGTCAAGCCTTGCATCCTTTGCCCCTCCTCCCAATTGCAGGTCAAAAGGAATTATTTGAGTGCGTGTAGTTCTTACTTGAACCCTTGTGGAATCGATAATATGGACCCCCTAAACCCTAAACCCAACCTAAAACCCTAAACCCAGAATCTCCTGGGCTTCCCAAAAACTCCCGGCTTTGGAGAAAAAAACCATATCGCAACCCAAGTCTTCGGCGCCAAGCAGTTTGCCTTTTCCACCATAAACTCTACACCCCAACACCCCGTACCCTAAACCCTAAATCCCTGAATCCTACACCCTAAATGCCGAAATCCCTAACCCAAACCCTAAACCTGAAATCCCCAGAAGCAGAGCATACGCAGGAGATGGAGGCACTGCCAGACAAGCACGATGTGCAGCAGGCCTGGTCTTTAAGGGGTAGTACAGAATAAGGTTGTGAGTTTAGGATGTAGGGTTTAGGGTCTAGGATTTAGGGATATTCAGGGTTTAGGGAGTAGGGTTGGTTTAGGTCTTGGGGGGTGGTACAGGGAGTATATTGCCAATATCATGGTCCCAGATTCCGCATACATTGTAGTATCCTGAGGCTCTGCAGTCGATATCCAGTTTAGGTTGGTTATCCAGTTTAGGTTGGTTGGTTGGTTGGTTGGTTGGTTGCTTGCTTGCTTGCTTGCTTGCTTGCTTGCTTGGTTGGTTGGTTGGTTGGTTGGTTGTGTGGTTGGTTGGTTGGTTGGTTGGTTGGTTGGTTGGTGGGTTGGGTTGGGTTGGGTTGGGTTGGGTTGGGTTGGGTTGGGTTGGTTGGTTGGTTATAAGACACGGACGTGTTCCCTTGGGCCAGGGTAAGATCAAGCGCCCTGTCCCGAAGTCAAATGGAAGCCCAAGGCTATTCTCCGGCTCAAGAAACTCTTTGCGTTTCAAATCTTTTTGGGAAGGGCAGGCCTTTTTTGGGGGTCGGTCTTCTTATGAGACGCCTGAAAACAAGCGTACTTTCCAACACGCCTGACACATTTGCGGTATAAGGTACCCAAAGCCCTGTTCTAGTTCTCAGGCCCCGTGTCATGAAGGCAGAGGGTCTTGTCCTCCAGATTATTTCCTTGTCTAGCGCCATTCCTACTTCTCATGATTGCCCAAAACCCTAGACTTAAACTGCCAAAATCGCTAAACGCTACACCCCCAACCGCTGTCGTCATTACTGGGCTACGACTCGTCTAGTTCGTGGCCCCTTGGCTTCCCACACTTCAATTCAGCGGTCTTGGAGTCAAAGTCTGGAGCCCTGAAGTCAAGAAGCCCAACCCACAGTCACTTAGGCATGGGGTAGTTATAGGGTTTATGCTTATCCAACGCCAAATCATTTAGGTAGAGGGTAGCAATAATTCTAGGCTTATCCAAGCAAGGCTCACTTAGGTAGAGACAGGGCTTAGGCTCTATAGCCCCAAGCACATAGCTATCGCCGGCATCAGCTACGCATGTATTTGCTAAGAACAGTTCAAACCGTGGGTGGCCCTTGCAGGCGCCGCTATTCTAAACCCTAAACCCCAAAATAGGGACCACATGAACCTTACCCTTACCGGTTCTTAAGCGGCATCGGGGAGTGGACCGCAAGTTCCTGCACAATCATTCCCTTCCATAGTACATCAGCCCCACACCCTAAACCCGACCCAAACCCACCTATGTAGTCCATTTTTGGGTTGGGGAGTACAATCCCCTACCAACAACCTAACAAGCCCCAAAAAGTCGGGTATGGGAGCCCCTGGGAAAACCCTATGCCTTAGCCGTTGGAGGCCTTTTCCGTGATATTCTGGACAATGGTCTGGATGCCATGTCTGAAGTCGCATGACTTGGTCTATAGTCCCCCTTAAGTAGATAGTTATATTGGGTTTATCTTGGGATAATGGAAAAGAAAATGGAAACTACGGGTTTAGGGTTTAGGGAGTATAGTTCCCCTTAAGTAAATAGAATATGGCTTCGGGTATACCCCATATTCTATCAACTTAAGGGGGACCATAAGTCAGAGTATGCTTTGGGGTCTAAGTCTAATTGCAGTAAAGGCAACGGACGTCCCCAAATATACACCCCAACAATAACTCTTATAGTTCGTGTTTCCTAAAAAGGCCCCAAGTTTTTGGGAAATCTCCAAGGAGCTTGCCCTTCGTCCCGGTTCCTGAAGTTTCTATGAGGACTCCCTTATTTGTATAGTTTCTGTAGCTTCTTTGGGGACCGAGGGCTCTGGTTTCTGTGGTCGCCATGGGGTATGTGCCCACATGTTCACCGCTCGCGACTGTAAGCGGGCCAGGGTTGCTGGCTGCCTGAGAGCAATAAGAACAAGAACTACAAAGGATGTAAGAATACAAGTAAGAAGAGTATAAGTGCATCATTAATTAGAAGATGAGGTGCCATAGAGCAACACGAAGAACTATATACCCGTAGCCACATGCACCGTAGCCCAAACCCCCCAAAGGGGGCCCCACACAGGGGCCAAGGATGATACTAGGAGTTTTAGATTATGTGGCCATATACTGGCCCACATATTGGCCTTTGGTTAAAGGAAGGGATCCTTGAAGTAGAAGTCCCTATATAAATTAGAACCCATCAAAGTAGGTTTCCATTTTCTTCCACCTCCCTCACACCC